AAAATACTACTGTATATGTATATAAAATGGGCTGCTAAAAGTATAGAGCCTGGCCAAAACTGGCTTTATACTGGTGGCAAATGTTAATCACTTTTGATTCCAGCAGGTTAAGAAAATATTAATAGCACATTATACGCTAAGATTTAGGAACCCAAAATCAATGAATTGTTAAAAATCAATGAATATTTGTTAGGTAATATAGTAATGAATATTTGTTAGGTAATATAGTAAGAAATCCAGTCTCTCTTAACTCCTATTGGCAGTTTTCGTAAAATTTAATTCTAAGTTAATATATTTATCATATGAGAGATTTTTCCCTCTGTGATGATGTCATTTTATGTTACGAATATGGCAATTAGCATACATGCTCAGAGACATTTGCGTCTGTAAATCCTTAAGAAAGTTAAACAGTCATTAAGTCATACATAAATCTCAGGCACTACTAATTACATGTACATGTCAATATTCTGGTTTAATATGGCAAAAAATAAAATAAGTTTTCGCTCCTCAGACTGCAATAATTCTATATCATTTGTTAATATTTGTCAACAGGATTTTATGGAAGTGTTTATGTCTTCTTGTTGACATTAATTGACATAACTGAATCTAAATTAATTAAATTTGCTGATAAATAATCAAGAGAACTTCCGCTTTGAAATTATCAATGCTTAAAAAAAAAAAATCAAATTTTCCACAAATACAATTGGTTTTATAGTATTGGTTTCTAGGAGAAACATTGCAATGATGCTTTAATTATTAAACATATCGAGAATATTATGTTTGTAAACCTCACGATATTCAAATAAACATTTACAACACTGTTATAAATTTCAATTATTGTAATCAGGAAGTAATTGTGACTGTTCCATAACAAAATAGGAAATGTCACTTTTTATTAATTTTATATAAATTAACAGATAAATAATTAAATAATACAGAATCATTTTCATTTATATGTACATGTAAATCAATATCTATTAAATGGCTTCTCCCACATGCCCTCCCTCTAAACAAACCTACACCTCTCATCCTGCACTAAAACATTAAAATTTAGACTCTTATAGAGAATTTTCTTTTCCTTATAGATATGGCTAAACATTTTTTTCATTAATTTGTTAAGGATCGAACAAAATGACCATAAAATAAAAATATGACACACTTTAAAAAATTGCATTAAAAAAGAAAATTTCCACCAATTAGGCTCTGCTTTTTTATTCTCAAGTGCGAGTTTTGCCGACAAAAAATACCAATTGTTCACCTTCCGCATGTTTCAAATTAATCAGACTTCTGACACTTTGTAACCCAGCTGTGTGTGACAATACCCATTGTAAAATAACAATAATAGCACAATAATCACACCAGGACCCTTTTTGTGAACCCTCGTCCAAAACACAAACAGCCTTCCCCTGATCAATGGTTTTTTGAGAGTTATCAAACGGTAGAAAGTTTTGAAATAATATCCTTCTTTACAAATCAGAGCAAATATAACAGACTGGCCATAAAAAACTTTATAGCCTTAATTATCTTTTAAAGTCAGGACAATATGACTTTAATTTACGATATGCTGCTTATTGGTTGATTTGTTTGTTTGTTTGTTTGTTGTTTTTTTTGTTTTTTTGGGGTTTTTTTTTTAGGGGGGAGGGGGGTTAATTTACAATAATTCAAAACTTTAGATAATGATTTGTTGACTTAATTATCAAATTATCTCATTGGAAAATGGAATGAAATGATATTACAAATCTTAAAGGACAAAACAAACTATTATATAACTAACATACATTATTCACATATGTATAACTTTATGCAATATTTCATTTCGAATTTTACATTCTAAGTACTAAGAAACTTTGAAAATTTTTGTTCTTAATCATTTTGTAATGCCGTATATCTCTTCACAATGTAAATCACAAACTCCTACTTATTCAGTTAATTTCATTTTTTTTTCTTCTTTTTTGTTTTTAATTTTCTTCTGTTAATAAACCTAGGGATGGATCTAATTCATCTCTAAAATAAACCAACATAAAATTAGGAGACCTTGTAATGACTTAAAGATGTCTTCAAACTACTGCAATAAGGACACAAACATTTCCAATATCTATGCCATATACAGTAAAACCTATCCCTTAAAACCCCTTACTTTGTACAACACGACCATTTATTGTCCCCATTTTATATTCAATATTACATGACCATTTATTGTCCCCATTTTATATTCAATATTACATGACCATTTATTGTCCCCATTTTATATCCAATATTACATGACCATTTATTGTCCCCATTTTATATCCAATATTACATGACCATTTATTGTCCCCATTTTATATCCAATATTACATGACCATTTATTGTCCCCATTTTATATCCAATATTACATGACCATTTATTGTCCCCATTTTATATTCAATATTACATGGACCATTGATTGTCCCCATTTTATATCCAATATTACAGGACCATTGATTGTCCCCATTTTATATCCAATATTACAGGACCATTTTATTGTCCCCATTTTATATCCAATATTACAGAACCATTTTATATATTGTCCCCATTTTATATCCAATATTACATGACCATTTATTGTCCCCATTTTATATCCAATATTACACGACCATTTATTGTTCTCATTTTATATCCAATATTACAGAACCATTTTATATATTGACCCCATTGTATATCCAATATTACAGGACCATTCATTGGTCCAATTTTTATCCCATGATAACTTATTGGCCCATTTCTGATATCACAAGATCATTTATTGGCCCATTTCATAAATGATATTGGGTCATATTTCAAAAAAAAAATATAATAAAATATTCCCAGGTAAGGAAGCTGAGCTGCAGATGGTTATTTCCATTAAAATCCTGAGCTGTTAGCATCTGCTGATAAAGAGCATATTTTCATACAGACCACTGCCACAAATGAGAACCAAAATACAGAAAAACAATGCTATAATCTATATAAACTTAAGGGGCTATCAAAAGTTCAGTCATGTACCAAAACAATTCAGATAGGTTACTCAAAGTATGGTGCACTTTAATTTCCTGGTTCCCCAACCCTTAACTGAAAATAATCTATGGAGGGAGACAATACAGCTGGAAAATCCCCATATCACCTTTGGACACTTATTATATCAACATATTTACTACTTAAGCTGCATCTAAAACAGAATGTTCAAAAGGAAAACAGATAACTTCCATGTGTAAAATTCCATTTTGATATTATTTTCCTTATTTCCCATCTTCTAATAAGTGACTTTAGCAATGTGATATTCCATGGAAGAAATTCAATTAGATATACAGAGTAGAGAAAACATATCTGTTTCTGCACATTACAGCATTTCCTGGAAAATATAAATTCTAATCTAAATATAGCAATTTTTATTTTATGAATTACATGTAGTTTGCCTTTCAGGCACTTTTATTTCCCCAGAATTCTCTAATGCATACAAAAGCATCAATTCTGAAATACATGTAGGTATGGGAAAGGTAAATGACTTCAAAATGTGTCTATAATGTAATTTTAGCACGAGGAACGGTTGCTTAATGTAGTCACTACTCAGATCACTAGTGAGTTTTCTGGAGGCAAAGCACTTTATTCATTGCTATAAGTTATAAATTATAGACACTTTGATTGTAACATTTTTTTGGAGGCTGAGTGTCAACTCACACTAATGACAAAAGGTCATATGGCTGCTAGGAACATTTCCAGCTATATAAGTGGAGAAAGACCCTAGAAGACACAACCCCAAGTCAGTACATCTAAATATTTTAAGCACGAGAGGTCAGCTGAGTGGAACAAATAACTTTCCATAAACATGATATAGTTTTTCCTCATGTGAAAGACTTGTCGAATTTGAACTTACACGTCGGTTGAAGTGGTAAGAGATCCTGATTCATCAACTTTAAACACTAATGGCTTTACTGTACCATGCCTGGCAGACACAAAAATAAACTGACTTGATCTTTCTCATAATGATCACTTTTGCATTTAAAGAGCAACACAATGTATGAGCGTGTAACATTTACAAAATCAGAAAGTCATAGAGCCAATGACCAACTTGTTTTGATGTACCTGCGGTCTCTGCACTGCTACACACTGCCACCCTTAAATTTCTTAAATGGACTTAATCCAGCTCCAATTTTTGGAATTTTCCATTATCAATATTGGCTATGTTAAGATTTAAGTGAGTAAAACCCCTGTCACACTAGGACCGCGTTCTCACGGCGTCCAAAGAAAATTCAGAACGCCAAGGTGAGCGCAGTAAGATCGCAAACATCGCAACAGCATCGCCGTAGCATCGTAGTGGCATCGCATAGAACGCCGACCAACGGCGCAAATTTTGAACATGCTCAAAACAAACACCGTCGCTCGGCGTTCTAAAATGAGCGCAGTAGCATCGCAGTAAGGATGCCGTAGCAACTCAGTAGCATCTCCTACAACGCAACAGGAGCGCTGCGAAAGCGCAAAAGGAACGTCGAATGAACGCCCTGGTTATCCAAGGCGCTTGTACGGAGACTGTGCGACGTCTTTACCGCGCTTAAACTGCGTGTGTACGGCGCTTTCACGGAGCTTTACGATTTCAACGCAGTGTGAGCGCTGCGAGAGCGTCGTATGAGCGCCGTAAATGCGCAGTGAAAGCCCAAAGAACGTCATAGAAGCGCAGTCTGAACGTAGACAATCGCCAACTAAAACGCCATCGAAGCTCGGCAGCACCGCCATGATCGCCTCGAGCACACCGTGAAGACGCCGTGCAGTCTTCATGACATCAACAATATTACATTTTTTATTGCGACCTCGCGGCGCTTTGTTAAATTGAACAACGCCGTGCGAACGCAGCGAAATCGCATTCTAGTGTGACAGGGCCTTAAGCCAACAGTATAAAGCCTGGTCTGACTAAACAAATGTGCTGGTACTTTAAGTTCCAGCATGGTACAGGTTAAACAAATATTATGGTTTGTACAAGTTTAACTAAGCGGAAGAAGTTTACTTACATCATTTGTTGTATTTCAGAGATGAACCAATGTTGACCGGAGCCAGTCTTCCCTGCTCCACCCACTGCTGGTGTCTGGTCTTTGCTACTCATCTCTTACAGTTACTATGACAACCAAAGACTTTTTTTTCATCTGTTAAAGCTAAATGATAAAAATAGAAATGAATAATACAACTGTATGTAACAGTGTAGTGAAACATGGGGAAAAAAGATAAACAGTGTGCCCCAAATTATTTCACAAAGGAGAATAATTCACTTATTCAATGCCAGATATATTAGGATTTTGATCTGTGATCCAGAAGTAGGTTGAGAAGTTTTAATCCTTCACCATCTTAAATTTGTAATTGAATGTGCTCAGTTTTCATTTTTGGAACTTTGAGGATATTAGGAAAGTCAGCCAGCATTATAGAGCCTGGTCATGTTGCAGACACTGCATGGATCTACATCCTTGTCTCGCTCTATACTTGTGGCAAATACATATAGTTTTCAGTTTTATAATAACATACATGTATATAATACAGTGTAAGAAATTCAAATTTGAATCCACTAGGCTGGTTGGACTACCAGATTGAAATATTCACCAGCCCGAAAGAAATTACACTACCAAGATCAGTTGTTTATATTGCCTCTGAAAATATAGTAGCCTGTTCGGACTTGTTAATGTGAAAAGTTGGTAGCCCAAGCAGTAATTTAGTAGTCAGGGGCTATCGGACTTCTGGTAATTTCGAACACTGTGTATAGGTATTTTATAAGGTCATAAAAGGGTATAATTCAGTTAATACAATGCAAGGGTTCAGAGTCTTGGACACTGACCTTCAATAATGAACCTGAAAACATGGTCATGTAAATTTTCAGATGAATACAGTTGTACTGTATGTGGTTGTGGTGAAGATAATTCAGATTACTTGCAAAGAAAACCTTAACCAGGATTTTTTCAAGATTATAATGAGTAATAAATTAATATTAATTCTAAACCTTGAGAATATTATACAACAAACCACACACCTTAGTTTGTCTTCTAAACAGATCTTGGTCATCTTGTCTAGTTGTCTCTATCAGAAATACTGCAATATTAGAGTACATGTACCTACAAAACACAACAAAATATGGTAATATTATACTGTCATTAAAATGAAGAAAGAGTTCTAGACAAAATATCAGACATTTTAATATGCATGCAACAAGTATAGCATAACATTTCACATATATAACATTTTTTTTGTTGTTAAAATACTGAAAGTCTTGAGAAACACAATTCTTAAAACTTGAAAGTGTACTGTCAAAGTAAAAAACATACATACATTTTGTAATTACACCTCCAGTCTATTTCCTTTAAATTTGTTCTTTTTGTTTTAGACATAGGTAAAGCAAACACAATGAAAAGTTATGTAAATGTAAAGAGTTTAGTCTTCTTTTCTCAGTGTTGGACAGTATGATAAATGTTAAGTAGAAAAGAAGAAAAGAAGAGTATAATTCTCATAAATTCTGCAAAACTGTTTGGTATTTCTACAACAATGATAAAAAAAATTCAACATTACAGAAGGGACTGTTGTGTAAAGGAAGTAAAATAAAAACTTTAGCCCAGACCGTTCTGTATCATTTGAACTGGTGGAAGAACATTGAAACTAACTTGTCAGAAATGTGAACCATGAGACAATGTGCAGAGCGCAGGTTTGACCTTCCACAGGTCAAGGTCACACTTAGTCATTTTGTCTCAATTTCAAAATTTTGTGTCTGCTTTGCATCTTTTGAACTGCTAGAATGAAATTAAAACTATTTGGCAGAAATATATAATGAGACGGTGTGCAGAACCCAGGTGCGTCCGGCTTCCTGAATTTTTTTCTGGCATATAAAAAGTATGATGCCTATTTCTAATTCAAATATAATTAACATAATGAGCAAACACAGCTTCCTATTAAATATCATGATATACCATACCATCTCATTAGTTTAAGATAAACTATAATTATTTCAAAATTCATTTCCTGTTCAAAAATCAGTACATCTCTCAAGGAAGTGAAATTGCCAAAAAACAAAATTAATCTTCTCACAAAAGGTGTAACAATAAAGTTTAAAGTTAATGTTGTATTTGAAAACAAGTTGCAACTACACCCTTACCATACTCATTATTCTATAAACATCATAAGACTGTCTTTCAATCTGGACAAAACCATTTATCATTTTTAGGGAAAATTTCAAAATAATAACTTAATGAATTGCTAAGCAAACAGTGCAGATCATGGGTAGAATCTGATGCAGCAAGCAGGTTAGGAGTAAATGCATGAATCACTTCTGATACCTCGCTAGGCCTGACAGGAGGATTTTTCAAGAAATGAACCAAATAAGGCTTGCACTCATAAACAATAGACTGAGAGGCAGTCACCTTAACCATTAGTCAACATCTCCCTGGTTTTAATGTTTTACAATTTCATACACAGATTTGACAAATCTAATTAACAAAACTTTTTTTTCCACACAATAATCATGATACATGGTCAGGCAGAAATAATAGCCAAGCTCGATTTAGCTATGGAAATTCCCATATAAATAAAGATCAAGTTAGTTATGACTATAAAAAAGTTAAGACAGACTATGACTAAGTTAAACACTGTGACTATGTCATTATTTTTTCACGAAAATTGCTTATTTGACTGAGTTTAATGTTTTGTATGGTCATTCCAACATGGTGAGTGTAATAAGGGTTATATAGAGCTATATGCTAGTATATATATATATATACGGCTTTAATTTTGTCACATGACTCATTTTTCATTGCAATATTGTCAGTCTATTCAGAATATTATTACTCTACGGCCTGACCAATATGGCAACAAATAACAATATTTTATACATATTATATAATTTATTACCTTTTTATTGTCGCCTTACAAAAATTTGTTACAATAAATGAATATGACTTGTGTACTCATTTATCTAAAATAGAACTTTCAGTCATATTTGAACTTTGAAGATCATCATGTATTTATTGGAAAAGTAACATTGGTGGTGAACATGATTGTTGAATGTATTTCTGGAAAGGTGACCCAAGTAGAATATACTGAATGACCTTTAATGTATGACCTTGGAAGTCATGTTAGATGACATTCAAAATATGTACTGGAAAAGTGACCATACATTACTTTTTAGTGTTTTTTTCTTTTTTCTGCATGCATCTTTTACATGTCATATTTTACTACAATGACAATTTGTAACAAGAGGAGACTTTCATGTATGTTTCATGTGAGGAAGTTATCAGTGAGCTAGCTTATAGAATATCAGTGGTTCTTCGCAGGTTCATATAAATAACACACAGAGGGGCTTAGTGACTTCCTAAACCATTAAAGCTGTAAAATCATATTATGACCTATACAATGTCAATGTCACCTACAATATAAAAGCTAAACCAACAAAAAAAATTTCATTCGAAATAAAATATGTCTATTAGGAAAACAGTATGACAAAGCTCAATAAAATCTAATATAAAATTTGCGCCAGATTATCTTAACTTATTCAGTAGATAATAAGGTTAACTATACAATGAAAGGTATTCCAAATTTGCACCTATCTGATTGAAAAATAACTTGACACAAATACCTAGCTCGAGGCTCAAAAATCGAATCAGAAGAAAGTTTACATCAGCGTATTATACAGGTATTTAGTGTTTACCCATCCTAATTAGATGGTACAACCTCTATAAAAGCCTTCCTCAATACTCATTAAATTGACACATTTAGTATCTGATACAAATGTCCAGCATTCTTGTGGTCATCTCGACAAGGCCACCATAGATGGATACCAATTCCATACATTCCGCTCATTAACAAAGAGGTCAACCAGTACACGGGTAACGCACAACGTCCATCAATAAATAACATTCAAGATTTTCCCGCTCAAATACTTACATATTGTTTATTACCATCTGCTGTTTTTTTTTAATAACCTTAATGTGAACCATATCCCACTTTTAATCAATTCTCCAATAATTATTTTAATGTACTTAATTGTCTAACAAAGCCATTCATCAGTATATAGTTAAATTTCAAAATATTTACTAAGTAAACATACTAAGTTGTAAACAGTGCCAACCACAGCTCAGATATGCCGACTGATCTAGGTCGAAACTGGTCACATGAGTAAATTCAGTTGGCATCAGCATTTAAATTGTTAATTTTCAATTCAAAGGAATGATTATGCATACTTTATCATTTCAAAGGAATATTTTTTTCTTAAATGGCTTTATACTGTTATTTTAGCATAAGTAGAACAGTGAAACTTTCATTGATTAATTTGAAAATCTGTATTAAAAATCAATTAATAAAAAATCTGAAATGAACTGACTAAAAGACTCAAATATCAAATTTCTAACTTTTGACCTAAGGGTAAGTATCAAGATCTCTAGCTGCAAAAAAAAAAATGAGGAGTGAAAATTTATTGAAACATTAAAGAAAAATCAACAATTCATCACAAAGGACTTACAACAAAGAGGACAAATACCATTTGACGTAAATCAGAAAAGTGAAACTCGTATTTACTTAAACAGCTAATAAGATCCTGTGTCAACAAGCCTTAGTCTGTTAACAGAATTGGTATTTGAATGACCACCCTTTGATCTTACCGTAGATTAGTAAATATGCAAATTGTCAACTGTTACTATTTATCGGTTATCAAATGGCTTAGCACTTTGTGAACTCGTAACTTGAAGGTGACAGATTACATCTACGGAAGTACTTTATTATCTCCGTAAAGAAAGACTTTACTTAGTCATCGTAACTTATCTACGTTTATAATTTCGCGCTTCATTGATTAAAGCGTAAATTATGCAAATCATTGTAATTTATGACATGGATTAATAGATTTTTAAAATGATTAAGTAGTAAAAAGGTATGATTAATCAACGATGTTTATTTATGTTTTCAATAATATAGACTTTTACTATTTCATTCATAAAAAAAGTTTTAATTTAAATTTAAGTTAAAGGTGTCAGTCACTGTGTGGGTGTGTTATTTTTAACATTAATTTAGATTATAAAGATAAATTGGGTTAACAGATGCCAAGGTCATTCTTTGTGTATATATATATAGAACATATTGGGTTCTAAAATAAAATTCTTGTCCTTGTACTAACAAAGAAATATGTTGTACTAAAAATTAATCAAGCAGTATACTCACCGGGACACCGCTTTAATACTTTAAATATCTGTATATAATTTTTGGTAACTTTTAGTGCCTTTTCAAAAATTAAGCAATGAGTGAAATTTCAAAAACTTTAAAAACTACTTTATGCATGACTTGCAAGTTTTATTTATGTGTATGATCATAGGCACTTGGTTTCGGGATAAAATAACCCTTTGTGAGGTTTGTAGAACTCAAATATAATTGAATGTTACAATTTTTTTAACGTAGATGTCTCTTTTCTAAAACCGTCATTTTTCCGATACTACTAAAAAAACACGAGACATCTACGTTAAAAAAATTGTAACATTCAATTATATTTGAGTTCAACAAACCTCACAAAGGGTTATTTTATCCCGAAACCAAGTGCCTATGTGTATGATCACATAACCTGTCACTTCCTTTAAGCCCCACAAAAAAAAAACAGTTCAATTTTTCTCAGAAGTACGGTACAATGTAGCTTGATTTTTTTGGCAGCTGTTGGGAATATTTTTTGAAATTGGGAAAAGAACACAGGTTACTTTAGATTTGGAATGGGACCTGGTGATAGGGTTAAAATACCATGAATTTATCTATAAAAAAATACTTTTGGGGTATATTCACATTCTTGTTTGCACTGTATCAGGAAAAGGAAATCATCATAATTGTTGCCATTTTTAATACCACATGTAATTTACATTCATTTTAGTTATTTGTTAATATATTTTTAGACACATGACCACAAAAAGGTTAATGTAATCAAATCTTTATTTTATGTACGAGAAGTTCATGACTGTGAGACTGACAAAAATAACACGAAATGCATTACACTGGTAAATGTACAAACAAGAGCAGTCAAAAACCCTCAACATCTCAATGATGACAAATATTCTCATCTTGTTTACTATTTTGACTGGGAAAGTAAGAATGAAAATAA